TAGAGACGGGGTTTCACCATGTTGACCAGGATGGTCTCAATCTCTTGACCTCATGATCCACCCGCCTCGGCCTCCCAAAGTGCTGGGATTACAGGTGTGAGCCACCACGCCCGGCTTCTATACTTATTTTTAAAACTTTAAAACCAGTGCTTCTTTAAGGTCATTTATTTTAAAGCACATTGAAATATCTTAGATTAAAATATAGGCTGGGCACAGTGGCTCATGCCTGTAATCACAGCAGATCTGCCAAGGCGGCCAGTTCCCTTCACCCCAGGAGTTTGAGACCAGCCTGGGCAACATGGCAAAACTCCGTCTCTACAAAAATGCAAAAATTAGCAGGGTGTGGTGGGGCACACCAGTGGTCCCAGCTACTGGGGAGGCTGAGGTGTGAGGGTCACTTGAACAAGGAGACAAAGGCTGCGGTAAGCCCAGATTGCACTATTGCTTTCCAGCCTGGGCGATGGAATTAGACCCTGTCTGAAAGAGTAAACTACAATTTTCACAAATCCCAAAACCTGGTATTAGTAACAGTGGTTAGACTCTGCTGAGAGGTTAATCTGGAAGTACTCTTTTCAGCTGATCAGTGGATAATGGAGCAGAGAGAGCCCAGACTTAGGAAGGAGGCCCCATGTCTCCACCCGTGGGAGAGGGTGTGACCCCAACCCACCGCCACCCACGCGTCACTCACGCATCCTTACCCACGTCCATCCACTCCGGAGGGAGCAGCCGACATTTCTGTCTTTGTTTCAGGTTAATTGCCAGCCACAGGGGCACTTCCACTGGTAAACCTGGGTTAAAAGGCCCCAGATCCCCCTGCCAAAAGTAAAACAATTCCCAGTAAGATTAAAACAGAACAAAAAGCATTACCGTGATGTCACTGTTATCAAATAACTGGAAAGGCATTGCAGGAGCTGAAGTCCAAACGCAAATAAAAACAAAAGCCCAGCTGTTATCAGACTCACAACAAAGCCCCTGCTAAGCAGCTCCAAGACACCTGCGAGCCGAGCCGGGACACGGTCCTTCTGACCCTTCCGCGGAGGAAACGCAAGGCCCCCTGAGCGGGCGGGGACACTCCCGCCTCCTTCTCCCGCCTGCACCCACCAACTCAAGAACACGTTTCACACACCCAGTGTTGGCGTCCTGGGTCCCGGGCAGTGAGTGCGGGCAGGTAGTCCTTCCCTAGGACTCCCAGCACCCCGGTGCCTCCTTTCTACTTAAAACACAAAGCTGGGCAGGTGCAGTGGCTCAGGCTTGTAATCTCAGCTGCTTGGCAGGACAATCACCTGAACCCGGGAGGCGGAGGTTGCAGTCAGCTGAGATCGAACCATTGCACTCCGGCCTGGGCGACAGAGCAAGACTCCATCTCAAAAAATAAAGACAAAAACAAGCAAACGCAAAGCGGACTCTTGCCCATAATCCCAGCACCTCGGGGGTCGGAGGTGGGAGGATCGCCTGGGCGAGCCCAGGAGTTCCAGGCGAGGCTGGGCAACACAGGCAGAACCCCATCTCTACCAAACAGGACAGTAGCTGGCCGCGGTGGCTCCCCTGAGGTCAGGAGTTCGAGACCAGCCTGGCCAACATGGCGAAACCCCACCTCTACCAAAAAAGCAAAAATCAGCCAGGTGTGGCGGCGCATGCCTGTCATCCCAGCTACTCGGGACGCCGAGGCAGGGGAATCGCTTGAACCCGGGAGGCAGCGGTTGCGGTGAGCCGAGATCGCGCCGCTGCACTCCAACTTGGGCGACAGAGAGAGACGGTCTCAAAAACCAAACCGAACAAACAAAAACCCTGTAAACGCGGGCGCTCGGGGCCACTGGCAACTGCGTACAGCCTCGTTTTCCCCCTTCGAGAAGCGGCAACGGCGGTGCGCGAGCGCAGCCCCGAGCGGTGGCTTCCGCGGAAACGGAGCAGGGAGAGCCTGCGACCCCAGCCCAGGCCGCCTCGCGGAAGCCCCGGACGCGCCCGCCCCGCGTCCCACGGAGGGCCCGGGCCTCACCCCGATGAGGTAGATCTTGTCCAGACTGAAGTTGGGGATGATGGTAACCAGCTCCTTCTCGGCCAGGAACTCCACCTCGGCCGCGTCCATGGCGGCGCAACTAGCCAGCCGGGGCCTCACAGGCTTTTCTGGCCCCTCTGCGTCCCGGAGGTGAAGCCGCGGCTGCTGTTTTCCCGCCACAGCGAGAGCCCGCCCCGACCGGAAGACGGCCTGCGCCAGCCTATAGGAACGCGGCGGCGCCGTCGGCGGGCGGCGGGGAGCCGAGAGCACGGCCGCTGGGAGCCCGCGGATTGGCGAACCCGAGTGAGGCTGAGCGCCGGCCCCGCCCCGGCCCGTGACAGGCCCCGCCCCGCCCGTGGGCGCGCACCTGGAGCTCTCAGGGCTTCCTGCAGCCGGCGGCAGCTTTGTTGTCCCGTCGCCTGCGCCCGGCGCCCACCGTAAACACCGTTCCACGTGGGGCGGAAAGTAAACGCGTTTATTTTATTTTTAATTTTTTTTTTTTTTTTTTTGAGACGGAGTTTCGCTCTTGTTACCCAGGCTGGAGTGCAATGGCGCGATCTCGGCTCACCGCAACCTCCGCCTCCTGGGTTCAGGCAATTCTCCTGCCTCAGCCTCCTGAGTCGCTGGGATTACAGGCACGCGCCACCATGCCCAGCTGATTTTTTGTATTTTTAGTAGAGACAGGGTTTCACCATGTTGACCAGGATGGTCTCGATCTCTTGACCTCGTGATCCACCCGCCTCGGCCTCCCAAAGTGCTGGGATTACAGGCTTGAGCCACCGCGCCCGCCCCTTATTTTAAATTTTAAACAACTTTTTCTGGATTTGGGATCTCCCTACGTTGCTCAGACTGGCCTTGAACTTCTGGCCTCAAGCAATCCGTCCACCTCAACCACCCAAAGTGCTGGGATTACAGGTGGGAGCCCTTGTGCCAAGCCAAGAGTAAATGCATTTATTTGCCCAAACTCAGCACCCGGCCCAGAATGCATCATCACCTAGGCTGACAGATAGCAGGATGAGGGAAGAGATTGTTTCCATTAATTTCACAATCTTCTGCCCTTTTTGCACACATTGGTTAAAAAAATCTATTAAAATGCAGGCTCCTCCAACCCACCCCACAGCTTCCAGTTCGGACACTTCAGGGCAGGGCCTTGGAATGTGCCGCAGGTGACACAGGAGTGGCAGGTTTGCACCACCTGAGCAAGTGCCTGTTCTCTGGACAGGCTGCCCCCCGCACGGTGGGCACAGGTGAAGCCAGAGCAGTGGCCAGAGTGCACCTGTGTGAAAATCCCCTGGCCGGTGCCCACTGTCCATGTGCACACTGCTGGGAGTTGGGATTCAGGAGTCCGGGGGAGGACAGAAAGTTGAATTTCATCCAGGGCCAGGTGATTTTGATGGGGTGGTCATGGCGGGAAAAGCTTGCCGGGGTGAAACAGTTGTCTAGGACCGCACTCGAATTGGAAACCCTGATCATCAGGCTCTGAGAATAATCACAGGAGACAAGATGATTCCAGGGCTTGGAATTCCAGCAGGAAAGCTACCCCTGCCCCCCAGCTAACCGGGTGCTCTTCTCTCTGACCTCCCTAAAGCCTCATGAAAGATTATTGGAAAAACGAAATAAATCCGTAATGACATTCCGCCCACCCACAGGGCTGTTCACAATGCTGTGTGTGTTGTGTATCTGCCTTGGAAGTTGTCCGTTACAGACCTGGAGATTTCACTGAGTTACCTTCATGTATGGAAACAAATACTCTTGGCCAAGTGTGGTGACTCATGCCTGTAATCCCAGGACTTTGGGAGGCTGAGGTAGGAGGATCACTTCAAGCCAGGAGTTCAAAATCAGCCTAGGAAACATGCCAAGACCCCATCTCTAGTAAAATAAATAAAAACAACAACAAAAGAGAAAAGACAAGTATGCTCAAAGAGAAGAAATAAAAGGCCACTCTGGATGCTGCGTGACCAAGGGCAAGTGCCCACTCTGAACCCCTGTGTCTTCATCTTCAAAATGAAGTAGGAGGCCGGGCGCGGTGGCTCAAGCCTGTAATCCCAGCACTTTGGGAGGCCGAGGCGGGTGGATCACGAGGTCAAGAGATCGAGACCATCTTGGTCAACATGGTGAAACCC